TGCATACATACACAGTCTATACATACATACACACACACACACACACACACACACACACACACACACACACACACACACACACACACACACACACACACACACACACACACACACACACACACACACACACTCACTCACTCACTCTCACACACACACACACACACACACACACACACATTCACTCACTCACACACACACACACACACTCACACACTCACACACACACACACACACACTCACTCACTCACTCACTCACTCACTCACACACACACACACACACACACACACACGTTTACACACCCTTCCAGATTCCGAGGCTGGGTTTTGTTATATATACATAGTTACGAGAGAGGGCGCTACGTCGCCTAAGATAATAAAGCTTCTTTAACTTGCTATCAGATATGATCAGCTGATATAAACCGGTGTTGCCCTCTCACTCATCTCTCCTAATCTCACCTCTATTGCTGTCTATTATGTATTTCTTTTTCTTTTCTTTTCTTTCTTTGAGGGTTATTTTGACTTTTTAAAAATACGGATATTTATTTTCAAGAAGCGAGTATTCAAAAACGATAATGTGTGATGAATGTTGTGTCTTTCTTGGTCATACGATGCTCTCACACTCACACACGCACACACACACACACACACACAGACACACACACACACACACACACACACACACACACACACACACACACACACACACACACACACACACACACACACACACACTCACTTAGTTACCTACTTACTTACTCACTCACTCACACACAAATAATCGCACACACTCTCACTCACTCACACACACACACACACACACACACACACACACACACACACACACACACACACACACACACACACACTCACTCACTCACTCACTCACTCACTCACTCACTCACACACACACACACACACACACACACACACACACACACGCACACACACACACACACACACACACACACACACGGACGCAGATGTACACACGCAAGCACGCGCACAGATACGCACATCCACATCTCCGCGGCCCAGAATCCCCTGAATAAACCCTGATGAGTCATGTAAACAAGGTAGGTGTGGGGGGATGGGGGAGGGGGAAGGGAGGGGGACTTAGATTTCGATTTAACTGAGAGGAGAGAGGGAGAGGAAGAGGAAGAGAAAGAGAGGGAGAGGGAGAGAGGGAGAAGGAGAAACAAAGAGAAAGAGAGGGAGAGGGAGAGAGGGAGAAGGAGAAACGAAGAGAAAGAGAAAGAGAGGGAGAAGGAGAGAGGGAGAAAGGGAGATGGAGAGAGGGATAGGGAGAGGGAGAGGGAGAGGGGGAGGGGGAGGGAGAGGGAGAGGGAGAGGGTGAGGGGGAAGGGGAGGGTAGGGGAAGGGAAAGGAGGAGGAGGAGGAGGAGGAAGAGAGAGAAGGAGGAAAGAAATATAAAGAGAGAAAAATAATAGAAACGAACGGAACAGCAAACAAGATGATAATAAAAAAAAAAAAAAAAAAAATCTTTGAAAAAACAACAAAAGTGAAAACAGGAAAAGAAGGAAAGAAGCCATAATACACAAACATCAATAATAAAACACACATACACACACACACACACACACTTACACAAGAAGAGCCCGATGTAAATAAACTTCGACCGGAAGTGACGTAAAGCAGAAACTCCACCTCGTCTTCAACATGAACCTCCTACAGACAGACAGACAGACAGACAGACGGACAGACGGACAGACAGACAGACGGACGGACAGACATACAAACACAGAGAATTGTGAATGAACAAGAACGTGAAAAAATAATAAATAAAATACATACATAAAATAAAAAATAAATAGATGAATAAATCTTATTTATTTATTGTTTGCGTGTGTGTTTATTATTATTATTATTTTTTATGTTTCTGTTTATCTATTATGAGACATAAATATATATATATATATATATATGTGTGTGTGTGTGTGTGTGTGTGTGTGTGTGTGTGTGTGTGTGTGTGTGTGTGTGTGTGTGTGTGTGTGTGTGTGTGTGTGTGTGTCTTTATCGCGTTTCTCTCTACCTCTCCATCTCCCTCTTTTTCTGTTTCCCTTCTTCTTGTTCTCTTTACCTCTCTCTCTCTCTTTGCCTTCCTTTCCGTCGCCCTCCCCCCCAAAAAAAAAACAAAAAAAAAACACACACATCCTTCATATTGTAAGTTATTTCAACGGCAATTATATAATCGCTTCTCGTTTTATTCCGTCCTTTTCATCTCTCTCTCTCTCCTTCTTCGTCTCTTCCCTCACCTTGCGCTCTTCCTCCTCCTCTTTATTTCACCTTCATAATCCCCCCCTCCCCCCCGCAATCTACCCTTCCACCTACCTACCCCCCCCTCCCTCCTTTCCACCTTCCACATACCCACTCATTCACTCCCCCTGCCTTCTACCCACCTACCCACTCCCCCCCTTTCCTCCCCTACCCTCCTTCCCCCTTCCCCCCTGCCCACTTACCCCCTACCCACCTACCCTCCCCCACCTACCCCCTACCCCCTACCCCACCTACCCATCCATCCCCCTACCCACCTACCTACCTACCCCCCTTCCACCCAACCCCTCTACCCCCAATCCTCCTTCCCCTCCCCCACCTACCCACCCACCCACCTACCCCTCCCCCCCCTCCCACATGCTCCAGGAAGCTCCGACTAGAACCTCGTCTATGCTAATGGCTGGCCGCGTGACCCCTCCAAGGGCGCCGGCTGACTCAACTTTCCCTCCTGGTGCCCGCGTTGGCATACGCACGCACGAACGCACGCGCGCACACACAGACAAACACACACACACATATACACCCGCGCACATACATTTATATACATGTGCATACACATACGTATATACACGTGCGCATACACACACACATATATATATATACATGCGCACACACACACACGTATATGCACATGCGCATACACACACATATATTTACATGCGCACACATACGTATATACACACGCACATACACACACATATATACACACGAGCGCGCGAGTATACTCTCTCACACACACATTTGCACTCACATAGATACACACAAGCGCGAGCATACACACACGCATGCACATACGTACATATGTATCTACAAAAATATTTACGTTTTCTCTGTTTCCGATATTCCTTTTTCTGCTTTTTGTTTGTTTTTTTGTTTTTTGTTTTCTGTATTCGTTACTCCTTGTATATCTGTTTCTCTCTCTCTCTCTGTTCATATTTCGTCTCTTTCTATTTCTGTTTATGGCTCCCTACTCTTTCTTTCTGTCTCTTTCTTCTCTCTCTCTCTCTCTCTCTCTCTCTCTCTCTCTCTCTCTCTCTCTCTCTCTCTCTCTCTCTCTCTCTCTCTCTCTCTCTCTCTCTCCCTCCCTCTCTTCTAGTACAGCGAAGGCGTGAGTCATCGCGGTGGAGGTGAGATGTACCCCCTCCCTCCCCCCTACTCCTCCCTCTCCCTCCCCCCTCCCCAACCCCCTGCAGCTTCCACCTCAAGTGCAGATTGCAAATTGCTTTTTGGCCTTCTCTCCTTTTCCTTCTTCCTCCTGTTCCTTCCTGTGCTCCTTCTCTCCTTTGCTGTGGTTAACTTCTGCGATTTGGTTAACCATCTCATTATCGCTGTTTTTTTCTTTTTCTTTCGTACACGCTCGAGCAAAGACACGCGGATACAGATACAGACACGGATACACACTAACAAGCACACACGCACGCGCTTGCATGCACACACACATGCACGCACGCACGTGCACACAAACACACACAAAAACACACACACACACAAACACACAAACACAAACACAAACACACACACACACACACACACACACACACACACACACACACACACACACACACACACACACACACACACACACACACACAACACACACACACACACACACACACACACACACACACACACACACACACACACACACACACACACACACACACACACACACACACAATCCCACACACAAACACACACACACACACACACACACACACACACACACACACACACACACACACACACACACACACACACACACACACACATACACACAAACCCACACATACACGCACTCCCCCTCCCCACATACACACAAGCACCCGCCCCCTCCACACACATACACACACACATATACACACACACGCACTGGCCCTCACTCGTTCTTCACTCCATTCATAAATGTGAACACACAGTCTCTCCCTGTTCAATACGTTCTTCCTGGTTCTATCACCCTTGCGTTGCCTGTCATCGCTTGTTCTTGCTTTAAACCCACCTGTAACCCCCCCCCCCCCGCACATTCCTCCTTGTCAACATCGGTGCAATAACGGTGCAAGCAGCCTTTGCGCATTGCTATTGTTGCATAATTCATAATTCAACAATGGTAATAGTTATTGCAAACATCAAACGTGGTTAAAAGCAAGAACAGCAATAATAGTAATAGTTTAATAACAGAATAATGATAATATAATATAATGATGATATAAGAACATCTAATAGTTTAATAATAGCTTAATGATAATATAATATAATAGTAATATAAGAACATCTCGTGTAATCATAACAATAAACATTTTTTTTCCTTTTTGGCTAAATCTATATAAAACATAAAGAACAAGACCACAAAATAAGGGAAAAAAATTCACTCACTAGTTTTTAAATACAGATAATAAATAACCTAAAAAAAATGGGGAGAAAAGGAGGAACAGAGAAGGAAGGAAGGGGAGATGAAGGAACTGAAAAGGGAAGTACGAAAAAGAGAAAAGAGAATAAAAAAATAATAATATTAGGGAGAGATGGGTAAAAAAAAAAGGGGGGGGGGAGGGAAATCAAAGAAATTAAGGGAAAGAAAGGAAGGAAGGAAGGAAGGAAGGACCAAGAGGGGGAGTGGGAAGAAAGGAGAAAGGGGGGGGGGGGAGGAAAAGGGGGAGGGGGGATATAAACCTCACACAACACGACAGGAAACGTTAGTGAATGTTGACACTTACCAAACGTCCAATGTTTCCATCATCCGGAGAGGTAGGCTTATCCACCTCTCTGTCTCTCTCTCTCTTGTCAGTCTCCCTTTTTTTTATCCTTTTTTTCTTGAACCTTCCTTCTCTCCTTCTACTTCCTTCTTTATATATATATTTATTTATGGAGAGAAAGGAAGGGGGGGAAAGGAGGAAGGAGGAAGGGATAAAGGAGAGAATAAATTTCTTCCTGAGTTACGTGGCTGTCATCCTTGTCTGCAGGTGAACTCGGTCTTCACGAGCAACAAAGATTTCTTCCCGATAAATGAAAAAAAAGTTTCTTGATCAACGTTTCTTGTCTTCTAAGCTTCTTTTTCCAGTATTTATGAACATATACATCTACTTCTTCTTTTTTTTAATCAAAAAACAAAATCTTTTTTTTCTTTTTCTTCTTCTTTTAGATTCTATGTTTTAAAATTCACTTAAACATGAACTAAAAATAAAATCTATCACACTCTGATAATATCTAATG